AAGCCTGGAGATGACACTCTGGGCGATTCCAAGTTCCTCGGATACTTCCAGCTGGGTACGTCCACATTCCAGTCGTCCGATAATTCTACCACGTAAAAAATCATCCAAATGCTTCCTTTGTGCCATAACTATGCGGTTATTGCACTGAAAGGCTTTTAAAGCGCTTGTGAACAATTTTACTTTTTGCCACCATTCCTTATATACCCCTCTCTTACACTCTCGTCATTGTGACGTACTATCCGCGCCATCTGGTGGTTTCCTGTAATTTGCATATTCTTCTTCAAGATGTGTGTGATAATTCTACAGGTGAAATTTTTATTTTAGAGTTCAATTTCTGTGTGATTCTTAATTATCCTTAATTTATGAACATGAGTGTAAATAATAATTTTGGAAATTGACCCATATTGTTATTTACATATTTACCACTTTTTAAGGGATAATAATTTTTAAGAGAAAATCGTAATCTAATTTATCATTTTTAAAAATAAATTTATGATTTAAAGTTAAGAATATTATATTAAGAAGAGTTAAGAGTAATAAATTAAGAATCTTATCATCATCATCAGATATCTTAAGATATCATGATGATGATATATCTTAAGATATTAAGTTAAGAGCAATAAATTAAGAATATTAAATTTAAAAGAAATTATTTAAAAAATATGTTATAGTCCTTATTATAGATATTATTATTCTATCTATCAAAAGCTGTTGTAGATAGCTTAATTAGCTTTAATAATTAATTAATATAATTAGCTTTATTTATTGAAAATAAAATTAAACTTAAATTTTTTAACAGTTTAAATTTCAGTGAAAATGTATAAAAATTTATAAAAGAATCCAAAATCCTGTAAAAAAGGAAAGTCATCAAAAATCATACAAATAATAAATTAAAAATTGACAAAGCATGAAATATTTCGCTTTATCTTTAAAAACCTATCTGAATAGACTTTTAATGCAAAGATATTATTTATATATATTTATTAAAATTAGAATATTTGAAAAAAATTTTATTTGATAAAAATAAATAAGTCATTTTTTGTTTCAGTTTAATGCATACACATACGAAACATTTTTACAAATTAACATATCAACATAGTTTTACTATTTATACGAATAAAATAATGTAAAAAGAATTTTATTTTAAATTACTTGACTAAAATAAATTTTTAAATTATAAACGAATCAAATTAAAACATATTTTTATTTTTCACATAAACTTTAAATTACAAACTTTAAATATTTTTTTGAATGGAAATAAATTTTATTTATTCATCAAAGATATTACTTTTTAAGAATGTTTAACCAAACAGAAGAGAAGTTTTAAAAATTTCAATCTACAGTTTATGTATTTAAAAAAATAAAAATATTTGCAAAAAAATTTTTTTAAATTTAAAATTGAATTACCTTTTGCAATTTTTTAAAAATTCTCAAATTAGTAAATAATATATAAAAACAATAAGCTTGAAATTCCAGAATCGTAATTTCTTAAAACATAAAAAAAAAAAAAATATTTTATTGTAATTTGCCAATTTTTAAGAACAACAATTAACTATATTGTATTTCTTCGATCTTTCGTATTATTCTTACCTTCTTATTTTACTTTCTTTGACAGACAGACGAATGCATGGTGTAATAATGAATGCATTACGGTTTCTTTTCCTTGAAATAAAGTTGAACCTAGGAATAACTTATCCTAAAAAGATCAAGGAAACTTTTCACAAGCATTAATAGCCATACTAATCTACTTATTGATGGCTTGAGGGTCTGAGTGACTAGAACTCGGTGCCACAGGTTTCGGGTTCGAGTCCCATCCGTGCCATGGATGCTTTTAGTGGTTCAGGATCCACTTTAAATCTTAGGTCCCGTTCTAATATGACTGTTGGGCGTAGGACTGACAACCCTACCTCGTAAACAGAAAGGCTTCTCTGTTCCGAAATCTGCCAGTAGGCAGACTGCCTTAGCACACCATGGGGCTGTTGCGCCAATGATGATGTTCTACTAATAAATTTGCGTAACAAATGTTGTTAAATTAGAAAATTTAAAGCTTCGCTCGAGATGGCATTTTTTCGAAATGCCATACAGGAGAGGGGGTTTATTTATTTATTTATTATTATTATTATTTGGCTCTTGGCATACTATGAGGTTGTTGCGCCAATGAAGAAGAATCTACTTATTAAAGTCTTATTACTCTCAACGGAGAACAGATATCTGTACCAATAGTGAAATGAATATATATCATTATATTAGCCTATGCACTGACCTACTGCAATAGTTATTCTGGGATATAGTTTTTTTTCTTTCCTAGTTCAATTTATAACATTATTTTCTTTGAATTCAATGTTTGCTAATTAATACCTTTATTATGTCCCCCTCCCCCCGAATCACATCGGTGTAACTTCGGATCCTAATCCATTTATATGTGTCAAACTGAGAAACCTGCTTTGAGCCCCAGCACTCAAGCGTCAGCAATTAATCTTCGAATGCCTCAGGAGTGGTAGCATGCTCAGCTAGCCAGCTAGCATGCAAAAGAGCTCAGATTCGAATTCACCGACAAAGTCCATTGTGCCCGACTGATCAGTGGGAACGTTCGCCATTGACGAGCATTATGGCTGAGGTTCAACCCCCTGGCGGCTTTGTTGTAGATACTGTTTCAAAAAACGAGGAGTCTCAATGGCGTTTGTGATGATCAGAGTCTTGCCTCGTTAGTGGAACTACCTGGTGGGAGGTTTCTGGGTTTTCTTCTATATGATACGGGGTAGTTCAACCCTAAAAGTCCTCCCTCCTTCTTTAGCAACACGAAGCCAATTCAGACTTCTACCTACGAGTGCTCTATCACATGAGAAGCTGTCCTCTCTTCCCTCCTTCCATGAAACACGGGTTCATGGACTTGGTCTAGATTTTGATGTCGACCAAGTGGGAAAAGAAACAACAACAACGTCCATTTTAGTCGATGCTTTTCGAAGTGAGAAGGTTTCATGGCATTGCGTTTAAAGCAACCTGTATGGGTAATAAGCTTTTCCAGATTTTCTCCTATACAACTCCCTAATACAGGGTATTGCCCTTAAAAATTGTCACTGAAGGCAATATACTTACCTCATCGCCCTTCATATGATTGTTCATGACATACATCAGTGGAGCACGAAGTTCATTGCTGTTCGACAATAAATAAATCTTATTAATTAGTAAAAATTTATTTGTCTATTGACAGATTAACAATTTACTGTAATTAATTATTTTTGGGGCTTGATAGCCGAGTGACTAGCGCTTTGTCGCTAGGTGCCACAGGTTTCGGGTTCGTGTCCCGACAGTGTCATGAATATTTATAGTGGTTCGGAATCTACTTTAAACAGTAGGTCCCAGTATAACATAACTGTTGGGCGTAGGGCTGAAAACCATACTCCATAAAAAGAAAACATCTCCTGTCTCGAAATCATCCGGTAGGCAGACAGCCTTGACTCTCCAAGGGGCTGTTGCACCAATGAAGAAGAATTATTTTTTAGAAATAAAAGCAACATTCTAAATAAATATAGGAATCAAAATTCAAAATTCAAATGGTATTGGATATATACATTATTAAACATAAAAATTAAAATTATAAATACATCATTAAACACAAAGATGTCTTTCGATGTAGATCATTACGAAATCGAAATATGATCTCTACATCATTAATATCTTCCATCAGCATTGTGGTCTCTGAGCAAACGTTTTATTAAAAACCTTTTCATTGGGGAGAGGGGGGACTCATAATAGCCTGTGGGGAGATTCGAAGTGAAAGGACGAGATTCATATCGAATGGTAGTGCTGCTTCTCGTCAGGGTATTTAACGGCTTCGTGTCTGCCCCCCTCCCCGCTGTTTATTCGGGGTGTGAGGGGAGAGATCGTTTATCCGCTTGAAAGGGCTCGATCACACCCTCTCCGATAAAAACGATCAACGCCACTCCATTATTGACTTTTTGACCTCTTCATTATGACTGTGAATGGGAGAGCGTTTTCTCTCTGTGCGGGACCCAATTTTACTAGCGCTAAGACCCGTGTCCCTTTTTACTATCGTCAGCTTCATGACAGCGTGGATATTACTTCTGAAAAAAATATGTTGTTAAAGCTAACTAGGGTTGTTGAATGTGATATCAGTGTTGATATGATATGATATCATCGTTAATATGATATGATATCAACATTGATATGGTATGATATCATCGCTGAAGTAAAAAATAAATTTCTTAATCAATTTTGTGTTTTAAAAGTTTCTTGATATATTTCTTATATTTTTTTAAAAATATGTTAAAGTTATATTTTTATGACAGCACTGAATATTTTGTATTTAGATATAAATTGATGGTTAATTTTTTTTAATTGCTAATTTTCCATATATAATTAGATTTTGGCAAAATAAAATAAAAAGTATAGATACCTAAAAACAACCCAGAATAAATAACTGAGTTTTCTCATCAGACAAAAAAGTGACAATATTGTTGTCTGGTAGAAATTTTTTGGGTTTTATTCCCTACAATGATCAAATGCAGTGCAATCGTTCTCTTGAATATTTTCATAACATATTATTCCACTATTTGTTCATTAGATTTGGGATATAATACACTATCCATAATTAAAAAAAATCAGTATCTTCTTAAATAGTAGAAGAATATATTTAAAAATCTAACTTTAAATTGCAATTAAAAGTGCTAGAAAAAGTATTGTGAAAATGAGATTAACCTTATATATAACCAAGTCTTATTAAGAAATAAAATTTCTTATGATCCAGAATCATAAGAGCTCAAAGCATTTACAGCTATGAAGAAAAATTAAATTCCTTCAAAGCATCTTCTACAATCAGGCCCATAAAAAATAACCCATACATTTTTTCCAGAAAACGGCATGACAACAATGGGTTTTTTTTTTTTTTTTTACTCAATTTAAACCAGCCAAGAGAGAAAAGTTTTCTTTTTATTATTATTTCTAGAACTGTTTTTATTCATTATTTAAACAATAATTAGCGTTAGATCACCGAAGTCAAGCATCATTGGGCGCGGTCAGTACTTGGGTGGGTGACCACCTGGGAACACTGCGTGCCGTTGGTAAATTTGGGACCTGAATGGCCGAGTGTCTCGCGCTCTGGCGCTCGGTGCCACAGGTTTCGGATTCGAATCCCGGCGGTGCCATGGATGTTTGTAGTGGTTCGGAATCCACTTTAAGCTGTAGGTCCCGGTCTTCTATGACTGTAAGAGTGTCACGGAGCAAAAGTCAGGCTTCTACCTACGGGTGCTCCATCACAACAGAAGCTGCTTCCTTCCCCTTCAATCATGAGTCCATATGGGCTCGTGGGCTTGGCCAGCCAAGTGGGATAGGAAACAACAACAACAACATAATTAGCTAACATTTTTACAATCAATATTAGGAAATTAAAAATAAGAATAACTATTATTATTATTAATAAAAAATTTTTTTATTGCTTTAAGCGCCTTTGATATCTCTCCGCTACATCCTAACCATTTGATGTTAAAAAAATGTTAAGATGATTAATGCCAAGCTATTTATTAGCATTTAGTGATTTTTCTTCCTTTGCAGATTCTATAATTGTGTTGAATGTGCTTTATTTCAAGTTTATAGTTAAAAATTTTAATTAATTTGAATGTTAGCGTGTCCTGAAATAGAAGGCATTTAATGTAACGTTCAGTCAAAAATTTATCTAAATTTCTGATGTCTCTATTCAACATTTTTGAATGGTCTTAATAAAGAAATGAAAAAATCAAAACACAGTGCATCTTGCTCCAAAACAATCCTGTTGAATCTCCTTCCTTTATATTAACCGATCAAGGAAATTGTACAACTAATAAAAAAGTTACCTTTTGAAAAATAAATTCTATAAGTAAAAAAAACATTAATAGTAAGTATCATCATCGTCATGTTTAGCACCATAGCCCAGAGTGTGCCAAGGCTTTCCTTTGAAGAGATTTCCTCTGGGTAATAATGGTCCTCCAATTCTTAACCTTTAATACAGCAAAATCTTCTTCAACTGCGTCTATCCATCGCATTTTGAGTCCTCCTCTTCCTCTTTGTCCTTGTGGCTTTGCCAAAACGAGCCTTTTTACAGGGTTTAAATTCTTCCTACGAAGTACATAAGCAGACCAGTTTATAATATAGTTGATATAGTTGGGATATAGTTAAATATAGTTGTGATTAATATATTTATTATAGATCAGGAGCAGTTTGGTTAACGACCTGGGAGATGAGCACCTACACCAGGGAAGAGAGCTGTATAGCAGCAGTTCATGAAGTCTATCCATTGGACTTAACGAGGAAGGAAAAGTATGTGAATCTCCCAAATGTTTTCCGTGGGTTCAAAGTAAAATATTCAAAACTCTACCACTCAGTCATCAGGTCTCTAATTCGGCAAGAAGTTTCGGGATTTAAATGAGCAGCTTTCAGAATCGTAAATATCTTTTCATTGAAAGAAAATATTTTGCAATTTAATAAGTAACTAAATCGTAAAACTATATTCATAAACCATCAAAATCTATCTAATCTTATATAATTCTTCATTTCAAAATATCATTCTGAAATAAATTTCCTACTGACTTCCAAATAAACTTTTCACTTACGGGAACGAATTCTCGTTACCAACTCTCTCTCAACCTAACTTAACTGAGAGAATGGGCTTTGTACCACCAATTCTATTCTCCATTGCTTCCTAGAGACCCAGGGCGCATAATGAGAGAGAAACCCCTTTACAGGAACTCTCTCAACAAAGCTCGGTCTGGAAATAAGTGAGGTGTGTTAAGGGAGCGAGGGCGGCAGCAATTCAAACTCCTTCGGTAAGGCGAGGACGTGGTTAACGTGTTGGGAGATGATCACCTATACCAGGGAAGAACACAATCTAGCAACAGTTCAAGTCTATCCATTGGACTTAATGAGAAAAGAAAAGTATGTGAACCTCCCCAAATGTCCTCCGTGGGTTAGAGACCTCTGGACCTTATAGAGACACAGTGCGCATAATGAGAGAGAAACCCTTTACAAGAACTCTTCCATCTAAGCTTGAAGAACCCACTAAAATGTCCTCCGTAGGTTCAAAATAAAATATCCATAACTCAAATTGAGATCTTATGAGAAACCATTTTTTTTTGTTTGTTTTTGTTTTGTTTTGTTTTGTTGTGAAGTGATAATCCCATTGTAAATTCTTCAACAAGTTTGTGATTTCAGGGAGCAACTTTCAGAATCGTAAATATCTTTTCAGTGAAGACAATATTTTACAATTTAAGAAGTAATTAAATCATAGAATTATATTGAATATCCATCATAATGATACAATTCCAAAGAATGGGAATAAATTTTTCCCCTTATATAATACGAAATGAAGTAGAATTATATAAGGAGAAAAATTTAATCCCATTCTTTGGAATATCATTCTGAAATAAATATCCTACTGACTTCCAAATAAACTTTTCGCTTACGGGAATGAATTCTCGTTACCAACTCACTCTCTACCTAACTTCCTGAGAGAATGGGCTCCACTCCACCAATTCCAGCCAGAGTATTAGAGCTCATAATGAGAGAAAAACCCCTTTACAGGAACTCTCCCATCAAAGCTCGGGGAACCCCCAAATGTCCGCAGTGGGTTCAAAATATTTAAAACTTAAATTGAGATGTTACGAGAAACCAAATGATAATCACATTGCAAATTCGTTAAAAAGTTTTATGGTTTCATGTAGCAGCTTTCAGAATCGTAAATATCATCTTTTCATTGAACGAAAATATGTATTTTGCAATTTAAGAAGTAATTAAATCATAAAACTACATTCAAAATCCACCTTAACGATATAATTCCAAAGAATGGATTAAATTTTCCCTTTATATAATACAAAATATCATTCTGAAATAAAGATCCTACCGACTTCTAAATAAACTTTTCGCTTACGGGAATGAATTCTCGTTACCAACTAACTTCCTGAGAGAATGGGGCTCTGCTCCACCAATTCCACCCAGAGACCCAGGGCGCATAATGAGAGAGAGAGAAACCCCTTTACAGGAACTCTCCCATCAAAGCTCGGTCTGGAAATAAGTGAGGTGCGTTAAGGGAGCGAGGGCGGCAGCAATTCAGACTCCTTCGCTAAGGGCCAGGGAAGTCTTAAAAGGAGCAGCCCCCTCTCCGACCTCCTTCTAACAAATTCCGTCCTTTCTGGGTGATCAAGTCGTTGCGAGGCTTCCGGCCTGCGGAAAAAGAGGTTTTTCTCGAGGAAACTGCCATTTTGTTATGGTAAACAGCATCCAGTCTTCCCTCCTCCGCTCCGGTGCCTGATAAGAGGTGCATTATTCCGGCCGGTGTTCAATCATCCTGTCCGGCTCGCCGATAAGGCTGTGATAAGGGTCCGGGAGGCGAAATTGCAGGAAGGAAGCGGTGAAAGCGGTTGTTGCTACCAGCAACGGCTGCTGTTTCTGCTGCAGCAATGGGAGGCGGCAATTTAATTTAGGATCAGGTATTTAAGACATTTTTAAGAGCCTTCACGGAGTGTGTTATCAGTTTGAGATATCTTTCTGGAATGCTATTTGGTGTGTGGAAAGATTTGTAAACGTTTTCCAGCATTTTTGGAAGTTTTTTCCCGGATTCAGAAAAAATACTGGGGAAATTGGTTGTATTTTTGTAGTTAATAAAATGTAATGACGTAATTTCAAACCAGTTATTTTAATCAATGGATAAATTAAACTCAATTTATCGATAAATTGAGTGAAAATTTAATTGATTTCTTTAAATATAAACCAAGGTTCGCCATTCGTTCTTTGACAGCCGAAATTCTTTAATTCTTTAACCATTGACCTTTCAGGAATTACTTGATTTTTTTCTTTGTGGACTTTTGTATCCTACCGTTATGTAATTATAATGAGAAAAGAAAAATGAGGATTACAGAAATTTTTTAAATAGTTTATTTTGTAGTTAAAGTGTTTGTTGTGTAATATGATAGTCTTATTTGATTAATTTAGCTGTAAAGGAATATATTTTTTTGTATTCGATTATTTTATTAACGTTAATTACTTCATAGAAAGAATACGTAATGCATAAACATCATTTTTCAATAATATATATATCATGTATATCATATAAACAACGTGCGAGACTCGTGGCTCAGTGACAACGTGAGTCGCTAGTGAACATTAGGTCTGAGGTTCAATCCACTGATGGCTTTATTGTAGACACTGTTTCCAAAAACTGAGCAGGCTCATTGGCGTGTGGTGTTCAGCATCTTGCCTCGTTAGTCGGAGTACCTGGTGGGAGTTTTCCGGATTTTCTCCTATATGCATCTATACTATGGGTGCTCCATCACAACAGAAGCTGCCCCTTCCATTAGAACACACTGGCTCATGGGCTTGATCAAGATGTTGCTGTCGACCAAGTGGGATGAGACACAACACATATCAACAACATAAGAAAGATTAAATTTGTGAAGATTATTTTGTATTTTGAAGATTAATTTTTATTGCTGAATTACTTGAAATTAATATAAAACAGTAAAATGATATGGTTATATTTTGTAAAATTATAGAAAACAAAACAAAAGATGTGAGGATCTTAATTAGCTATTATTGGTTGTATCACTTTTCCATATTATATTAATATTAATATATCTGATATTCTCTCATTGTAAAGTGTTTGATAGTATACTTACATTAAAATTACGGAAGTCATTTTGAAATCTGGATAAACATTTTATTGAAAAAACTATAAAATACCGCTGTAAATAATTTTTAAATAAATTTTTAATATACTGTGATATAAATTTAATAATAAATCACAATGTTTAATTATTTATATTATATAACTAGCTAAAATAAATTGCTAAGAAATTGATCATCTATCAAAATCTCATAATGAGAAATTTCATCATTCAAATGTTAAAAAAGTAATTCCATTTTATAAGCACCCATAACTTGTTTAAAAACAATCCTTTTTAAAATTTATATTTTCATTCTCTTTTATATTGGTATATTAATTTGTTCTTCTTGAAAATAGAATTATTATTGTAAGTATCTACAAAATATTCGAGATTTTGCACGTAATAGAAATAAATATTATTTGTAGATTT